TGGCCAAGACAGAAACTAGCAACAAGGGGAAGTACAGGAGAGACGAGTGGGAAGCTAAACTTCATTGCTAGAAAGGCAGTCCAGGCACCTACAACAGCTTCCTTTGAAATACTTCTAGTTTCAAACACATGATGAGCTGGGATGTGGTGAGCTGCAGGAATCCAGCTGTACTGACTTAAAACTGATATTAAAAAATAGGAGACTTTCAAGGCAGAGAGACCTGTGGCTCAAGGGAACAACTTCCACACAAAGTTTTAGGTGCAACGTCTACAAGACTGCACATAAATCTGAGCCAATTTAGCACTGGCACAGGAAAGAAATGTTGTTTAGTGGCAGGACAGAAATGACAGGAACTTCTGGGCAGAAGTCTCAAAAGAGAATTCCTGATGTCAAAAGAATATTAGATTATGCAGGGTTGATATGAAGCCACGGCAGACAAAAATAAAACCTAGGCATCCCTACACCTTATGAACTGGCTGAAGCAGAAAATCTGTCTGAGGAAGATAAATTAGTGGGACACAGGGGAACAGGGAAAGAACAAGGTAGCAAAGAGTCCAGATCAGAATAGAAAGGGTGAGTTAGCACTAAACCCGTGTAATTCAGTATCCTCCAGTAGGACAAACCACGGGGTGCAGTTGTCAGTAGTTGTGTGGATACAAATCCCAAATCACATAATTTACAGCATGAATTTATACCGCTGGTTACTTTCAGCTCAGGAAGGGACTAGATGTGCACAGCTGCCTTGGTGTCTTTGATCTGGGCCACCTAATTAAAAACTACCAATGAGGAGCTCCTGCTGGTAAGGGAGGGAAATATCACAGTAAAGAAGCAATTTGTTGGTATCTTTGAGGTTGCTCTCCTGAATGGCTGCAGCATGCAACAGCAGACTATAATTGAGCCGCTAAAATGCTTTCTTAATATAATTAACGGGTCAAGAGATTTCAGCAAAGAGACTACTTTTATGCTGTTGTTTGGCTTTCAGTACAACACAGATGGTAGAGCCTCATCTTGTAAATCTTTTGTGGAGCCAAGCCACAGCTAGCACAGGAACAAATTTAGAGGAGAAGATAAATGAAATAGCTAATTAAAAGACGCCCACATCTGGACTGCTGTAAAAAAGACACTGAGAAACTGGACAGAATCCAGCATAAAGCCACTAAGGCAGTGAGGAGCCTGGACCGCAGCAGAGACGGAGGAAGCTGGGTTTGTTCAGCTTGGAGAAAAGATGCTTAAGGAGGGATTTAACAGCTGTCTGAGACTACCTAGAGGGGGACTGGGGGTTTTAGAGCCACATTCTTCTTTGTGGGACACAGCAAAAGGACAAGAGGCAACAGGCATAACTTGCAGCAAGGGAAATTCTGATTAGGTATCAGAAAGAATTGCAC